CCACTCAAAGTGGATCAAGGACCTTGGCATTAGACCAGAGACCCTAGAGGAAAATGTAGGCCCAACTCTCCATCATGTCAATTTAGGAACTGAATTCCTGAACAAGACTCCTAAAGTAAAAGAAGTAAAATCAAGAATCAAACTAAAAAGCTTCTTCACAGCAAAGAAAACAATCAAGAACATAAACAGGGAGCCTACAGAATGGGAGAAAAATCTTTGCCACTTGCCCCTCAGATGACGTGTTAATACCAGAAAAAAATAAATAAATAACCCAATCGATGAATGGGCAAAGGAACTGAACAGGCACTTCACAGAAGAAATAGGATGATCAGTCAACAAATATATGAAAAAATCTTTAACTTCTCTAGCAATTAGAGAAATGCAAATTAAAACTATACTGAGATTCCATCTCACTCCAGTGGAATGGCAATTATAAAGAATACAAGTAGCAATAAATGTTAGGGAGGATGTGGGAGGACAGGTACACACATACATTGCTTGTAGGATTGCAAATTGGTGTAACCATTCTGGAAAGCAAAGCAGTATGGAGATTCCTCAGGAAACTTGGAATAGAACCACCATTTGACCCAGCCATTCCACTCCTTGGTTTGTACCCAAAGAACTTAAAATCAGCATACTACAAAGATGCAGCCACATCGATGTTTATAGCAGCTCAGTTTACAATATGGCCATGCACCATAAGTGAATAAGAGATTGTGGTACATCCCTACAAGAAAAGGCCACTCAGCAATAAAAATGAACAGGTGACCAACACCCGCACACAGGATGCGGATTTCAGAAATATTACACCAAGCAAAAGAGCCAGGTACCGAGGAGTATGCGCTGTCTTATTCCATGCATGAAAAATAGGGAAAGTCAATGGTGTTCACAGATCAGCGGTTGTCAGGGACGGTGGGGGAACTCTAGGGGGATACAAGGAAACTGTGAGTTCAGGGGATTATTCTGTATCTGAACCGTGCGGGTGGTTATTCATCTTTCAGAAACCATCAAACTGAATACATTAAATACAGATTGAGCATCCTTAATCTGAAATTCAAAATGCACCTGTGTTAGTCAACTCATCGTTGCTGTCACCAAAATACCTGAAAAGAACAACTTGAAGAAGAAAAGGTGTATTTGGGCTCATGGGTTCAGAGGTTCAGACCCTGGTTGGCTGGCTTCGAGGCAAAAGCATCAGGGCAGAAGAGTGTGGCAGAGGAAACCTGCTCGGCTTATGGCAGCCGAGAAGGAGACAGAGAGGGAGAGAAAGAAGAAAAGGAGGAGAGGAGGGGAGGGTAAGCAGCCAGACACAGATATAGCACAAGACCACATCCCCAGTCACCTGTTTCCTCTGACCATGCCCTACCTGCATACAGTTACCACCTAGTAGTCCAGCTATCAATGGATTAATCCACTAGATGGATTAATCCACTGATGAGGTCAGAGCCTTAATTACTGCCTAACAGCTCACCTGTGAACCTGCATTGGGAGTCATGCTTTCAACACATGAGCTTCTGGGGAAATATTCCAGATCCTAACCATAACAGCTCCAAAATCCACAACTTTTGTGAGCACTGATCTGACTCTATGAGTGGGAAAGTCCAAACCATGAAACTTGGCTTTGTGCACAAAACTATTAAAAATGCTGTATTGGATTACCTTCAGACTATACGTATAAGGTGTGCATGAAACATGAATGAGTCCATGCTTAGACTTGGATCCACCCCCACCAAGATCCCCTGTCATGTGCATGCAAATATTCCAAAATCAAAAAAAAAAAAATCAGAGCTTCAAAACACTGCAGGTCTTAAGCATTTCAGTTAAGGGATATTTAACCTGGATGTGCCACTTACTGTATTAATATTATACCATAATTAATTATCAATTTATTAATATAATAAAAGTAAACAGTGCCTGGTTATTAAAGTGAATGAATGAACAACCAAGCAAAGCGGCGCACTCCGAGTAGCCAGGTCGCCTTTCTAAAGACTGTCCTGGTCCAGGCTCTGGGTGTCAGGTGCACAGCCCAGGCCTGGCCTGCAGCTCCTGGCTCCCAGGGGCTGTCTCTGGCCTGGGGATCCTTCCCCCGGGGGCAGCCAACAGTAGCTCCCAGAGCATCCTTACCCAACAGCAGCTGGGAGCTAGTGTCCACAGTCTCTCAGAGGGTCCCCGGGGACTCACTTGTCCACCCATGCCCTCTGTGGTCCACTCCTAAATAAAAGACAGGACCTATTCCACAACCGAGGGGTTGCTGCTAGGCTATGCAGCTAGCATCTCCCCTTCCTCTGGTGAGCACCTGTCCCCCTTGCCACCTGGCCAGATGGCACCCCATGCAGGACAGCTCTTCTATCCTGACCTTTCCACTGGGACACCATTTGGGAAGGGAAGGGTGTCCCCTGGAAGGGGGTCACCGGGAGTCCAGAGCAGCTGCAGGCAGTGTTCCAGAAGCCCAGAGAAGCCTCCCCAACGCAATAAGGAGGGAACTGAGCAGCCAGGAGACAAGGAAGCAGTCACATTGTTGGGGGACAGGTGCCAGCCCTGAGTGCCAGTCCCCAGTGAGGCCCGCCTGCTGCCCTCCCCACTTCCTGATTATCAGGACGGATAATCCCCCTCTGCACCTGAGCTCCCGCCTGTGAGGTGGCCAGAATAGAACTCTGCCTGGTTTTAAGTCAGCAAAGCCTGTGTCGGCTGCGTATCTCGTAGGAAATGACACAATGCCATAGCCACTTTTTTTTTTTTTTGCTAAATATTTTTTCTCATTTAACTCTATCCTTTTCAAAAAAGCTACGATTTTAATGCATTTTAACACATTTGCAAGACAAATGCAATCGCACACGCAAAACTGAACAGAAAACAACTCAAACTAACTTTTATTAGAAAGCTGGAGTCAAGTGAATGTATCCCCGAGAATTAACTGTCCCCCAAATTAAGCAATTTGCATAATGCTCTTAACTATCCTTTTCCTGAATTCTGTGTATGGTGAGAGCCAACCAGATATCAGTCAAATGATGTTTTTCAGAGAAAATATATCCTGCTTATATTCCCATTAGTGGTATGCATTCACTTTATGTTTTGGTACACGCTCACACACATACCCACACACACACACACATGCAGACACATGCAGATTGCACGCGGTGATTATAAGCATGAAAAAAATGTGTGTATTTCATCTGAGTGTGAAATTCATTTGAAATATCAGGGCGTTTTGCTATGTGACTGCGTGGCCTTCAACATGACCCCTTTGCCTGCTCTCCCCCATTGTGGGACACGCCAGCCATGTGACCTGGCTTCCCCTGTTCCTGATAATGCCACAATAAGTATTTTCCTGCGCCTGTTTTTCTTCTTTCAGTTATTTCTTTGGTTGAACTCCCCAGGCCCCACATCCCTCCGTGGAAAGCTGTGGTTTCCATGGTTCTAGGTCCCAGGTCTGCGAGCTGACTCTGGACTGTGGCCTGGCTGGGCGTGAGAATGTGAAGCTTGGAGTCACAGCAGAGAGGTGGGCAGACACACGGAGAGCGTCACACCCAGGAACCGGAAAGTCCTGAGGTCACACTTCTGAGCACCATTCAATATACGGAAACACGTCCATCAGCAAGCCGAGGGTTTGGGGCTGATGTTTAAGAGTATCAAGTAAGACCATTCATGTTATTCCAGCTACGTGAGCAGATTGCCAGTGCTGAACAGGAATCAGGGGAGAGAAAGAAAGTCAGGGTTTTACTGGGAACTTTTTAAAAAAAAATGTCTGCGTGCATTTTTCTATTGATACCTCATGTAACTGAGCTTCCTCTTGACTTTCTTAGAAATTCCAGCAGCTCAGTCCTTTCCTTGGAGCCCAGAAGCTGTGCACTTGGGAAGTCTACTCTGCTGGGGACCTGAGCGTCCTCTCTGAAAGGGGACAGGGACTCTCCTAGCCTGTCCCCCCTCCTGTGCACCATCAGAGACCACAGCTACTCTAACTGCCAAACACCTGCTAAACCAGCCCATGACTTCTCACTGCACCGTGCACCTGAGGTCAGTAAGCCCTCATGGATTCCTCAACTAACCCTGGAGATGTGTCCACTGGTCCCTGCAAGGTCCACACTGGAGCCAGAGTGGGCAGCAAATAGGGAAGCCCAGTGCGGTTCTGACGGCACCATCTCCCTGCTCTGAGCTCTCGATGGTTGGTCATTGCTCTAGTTAGACTGTTCAATTTGGTGGCCACAAGTTCTAGGTGCTATTTAAATTTTACTTTGCTGAAATTTAAACTTCAGTTCCTCCATCACAGGAGCCACAGACGGTGGGCTCCGTACTATGTGGGGCTGCTGCCACCTTGATAAACACTAAAGACAGAGAATTTTGTCCCAATGCAGAATGTTCTGTTAGATCCTGCTGCATTTAAAGGCAAAGCAAGACTGTGACTAACCTTCATGCCTAGCTGCCTTCCAGCCTCACCTACCCATGAGGTCTTCCCCCATCCCTCATCCTTCCATAGCTCCAATCCCAGTGTTCCAGAGTTCCTTCCACCTCAGGGCCTTTGCACATACCACTCGCTCCACCTGGAGTCCCCTCTGTGCCTCTTAACCCAATGTACACCTCATCTAGATAATCCCTCTCTCCCTTTGGAATTCAGAATTTAAAGGCACAGAAATTTCCCTGCCTTTCAAATAAGGTCAAGTCCCCTTGCAGAACAACCTGATGGCTCCCTGGACCTCCCTTTCGAAGCTCTTTTTGGATGATAGCATCACTGTCACTTGAATAATGAAATAATAAATTGCTTAGTGTGTCTCAGCCCAACAAGAATAGGAGCTAGGATGACAGGTGCCTCACCCGTTTAAGCACCAGAATTGGTCCCTGGCACGCAGCAGGAGATAAACAACAATCGGTGGATGTGTTCACAAGATGATTCCAACAACATGAATCTTAGAAAAGTGTAAATATCTAGAAAAAGGGCTGCCTCCTGACTCTAAACTCTGAATAGCTGATGCTGTGAGTTAAATAACGCTTTGACTGACACTTACTTCTCATGGAATTTACTCCAAAAGCCAGTGAAGGGTCAGAAGAGCCAACGCAGAGAAAACCTGCCGGGCAGCTGCCTGTGGTTTGAAGGATGTGTCCAGCCTGACTCTTTCCCCCTAAGCCTTGGTGGTCTATGAAGTTGGTTCATAGGAGAGGCCCGAGCGAGGCTCTGCTGAGGGGAGGCCGTGGTCACAGAAGGCTTTGAATAGGTGCTGCATCTGCAGAGTGTCATGTTATGCATGTTAGTGCACTGAAGTGCAATGACGATCAGGTGTCAAAACCCTATGGTATTAGGAGGTGGACACATTGTGAGGTGACCAGGTCACACAGGTGGAGCCCTTATTAGTGAGATTAACACCCTTTATTAAGAGAGAGAGAGGGAGAGAGAGAGAGAGAGAGGGAGAGTGATCTCACTAGTTCTCTACCCTTTGCCAAGTGAGGACACAGCAAGAGGCACCATCTGTAAACCAGGAAACCGGTCCACACCAGACACCTTGATGTTGGACTTCTAGGCTCAAGAACTGTGATAAATAAATTTCTGTTGTTTAAAACACCCAGTCTGTGACATTTTGTTATGGCAGCTGAAACCAAGGCAGATACACACTGGGCTACGCTCAGGTGAAATGATAGAATCGTTTCAATGTGGGTTTATCAGTAGGAAAAAAAGAACTTTGACCCCCGCCTCACCTCCATGTGGAGAAGAATGGGGGAGGGATTGTGGACCCAAAATAAAAGTTAAAGGGGCTGGGGTTGTGGCTCAGCGACAGAGCGCTGGCCTTGTATGTGCAAGACCCTGGGTTCCATCCTCAGCACCACATAAAAATAAATAAATGAAATAAAGGTAAGTTAGCTTTCATCAAAATCTAAACTACTGTCCACCAAAATGCACCATTAAGAAAATGAACAGTCCAGGCGCGGTGACACACACCTGCAATCCCAGCGACTAGGGAGGCTGAGGCAGGAGGATCGCGAGTTCAAAGCTAGCCTCAGCCACTTAGCGAGGAGCTAAGCAATTTAGCAAAGAAACCCCCGTCTCTAAATAAAATATACAAAAGGGCTGGGGATGTGGCTCCGTGGTTAAGCACCACCTCCGTGGTTCCCAGAACCACCCCTCAAAAAACAGGCAGGCCATCTCTGAGAGAAAAATGTGCAGCACACAGGGTTGCTTCCCGGGATCTGCAGCAGTTATGTTGGAAGGTGATGCAGGCCCCACATGGGTGAGCCCTGAACCATCGTTCTCCAGAAAAATAGGTGCCTGCGAGCCCTGGCCTGACACTAATCAAAGCTCAACGTCTGCTCAGGCTGCCTATCTAAGTCCACCTGGCTGCACGTGGGCGTGGGCTCCTTCTTTGAACTCACTGCGTGACTCACGTCTGACCGAAGCTTCTCCGGCACACGGCACACGCTTTTCCTCCAGAAGGTACGGCGCAGCCTCTGAACCAGAGGGCACTTTGGTGCCCTCCCTGGGCTGTTTGTTACAAGCTGTGAAATCCCCAACAGAAAGCGCAAGAATGCAAAAAAATGTGACCTTGAAAAGGACCCTTGCTTTCCACGTGAGCTGAAAGAAGGCGGAGCACGGGAGTAGTGGAGCAGAGTGTGGCCTTGGGGACCTCCGCTGGAATGGCCCCTGGCTGGGGACCTGTGCACGTCAGGTGACTTGAATTCTTCACCACTCTGCGTGTGTCCTCAAGAGATCACACAGTGCCAAGAGCACAGAGGTAGAGATCACCATCGGATTTTGTGGAGTTAGACCAATTCAGAAAGGACAGAATCCATGAGTGTACAACCAGCTGCGTAGAGCCAAGGACTGGGGTCAAGAACACAGAGGGAACGTCCACCACTTGGTACTAAAACAACAAACAACCAAATGTTTTTTTTTTAAATGGAAGAAAGTTTTGAACTTTAAAAAAGAATACGCACACATGTCCAGGAAGCATGTGACAAAGCGCGTGGTGTGATGAGTGATCGGGAAAGCACAAATTTAAACCATACTGAGCTATCCCCACATGGCGGGCCCTGAGGGTGGCCAGAGGGTAAGTGACCGGCAGCACTCAGCTCCCGGGATGTCAGAGAACCCAAGTGGGATGCTCACTCCCTGTCAGTAGGTCATTCCTCTCAGATAAGCTTCCAGAAAGTTCTTATCCAACCAAACATTACCCTTCCTCTGCATATTCACCCAAGAGAAATGGAAGCATTCACACACACACACACACACACACACACACACACAGAGATTTATACAAAACAAAGTTCACGGCTTTATTCAGAACAGTCCAAAATTGCAAACATCACTGGTGTTCATGAGCAGGTGAGGGGGTAAACTCCCTGTAGAACCCCCCCAGTGAAATGCTACTCAGCAAAACTAAAAAAGAAACACAAAGGAACAGCAGAATCCTTATCCTGAGTGCTAAGAATTCCCATCACAAAAGAGGATGGCATGGGATTCAACCTGCATAAAACTGGAGAACAGGCAAAACTAATGTGCAATCAGAAAAAAATAATGGTACCAATGTGCCTTCTGAGGGGCTGGGAGCAGGGCTCTACTGGGAAGGGCACTGGGTGACGGTGACACTCCCCACCTACATGGGAGTTTGGGTTACACCAGGTGTGTCTCTGCCAAATTCCCCAGATGGCACACTTGAGATGTGTAAATCTCCTTGAATGTGATTTTTATTCACATATAAATGAATAGCACATATTACATGTGCTACAGAATATTAAAACCACAATTTCTATAATATATTATAAATTTGTGTTATATAACTTATAGAACAGATCATATTATATAATTTGCTCCTATATCTATGGGACAGGAGAAGTGGTGCGCATACAGGCGAGGTGAAGAGGGTCATGTATTGATCAGAGTTAAATATTACGTATTGATCAGAGTTAAAACACAGCTTTGAATATGTTTAAAATTCTCCATAGTAACATATTTACAAATTTGGAGGCTTAAAATTTTGGGAGGGGGCTGGGGTTGTGGCTCAGTGGCAGAGTGCTTGCCTAGCGTGGGTAAGGCACTGGGTTCCATCCTCAGCTCCACGAATCAATAAATAAAAAATAAAGGTCCGTTGAAAACTAAAAAAATATTTTTAAAAAATTGGGGGAGTCTTCTGTGTCCCTGTCCCTAGAAAGGACTCTTCTCAAATCTTTAACAATGACCTTCTTGGAAGTTACTGATAGCAGTCACTGCCCTGGGGACACAGAACCTCGGGTTCCTCCAGGTAAGGAGGGTGGAGGGCCTGGTGCGCCCTGGGCCTGGCCTCCACTCCTGGGCCACTTTCAACATCTCATACCTCCTAAGGCAACCCACTGGCAGGCGAGGACAATCTGCCACAGCCACCCGGGGGGTGTCCTGAGAATGGAGAACGGACTAGCGAGAAGGGCCGTTCCCTGAGCCCTGAGCCTGTTGGGGTCCGGTGCCGCCCAGACCCCATGGACCTAAGAAGCTGTCTGACACTCTAAGGTCACTCTGAAGATCAAATCTGAACCTGGGACATTTCAAAAAGAAGTTGTGCCCTCTGCAGTGGCCCATGCCTGTAACTGCAGTGACTCAGGAGGCTGAGGCAGGAGGATCTCCAGTATGAAGCCAGCTTCAGCAACTCAGCAAGGCCCCGAGCAACTTAGCAAGACCCTGTCTCAAAACCAAAAAAATTAAAAGGGCCCAGGGATGTGGCTTGGTGGTTAAGTGCCTCTGGGTTCAGTCCCCATTATTTAAAAAAAAAAAAAATGAAGTTGCTTCTCCAGCCTCCTGTCACCTCAGCCCCAGGATGTGGGCATCAGGTTGACAGACTGGGTTTCAACCAGGAAAGTCGGCTTCCTGGCACACGACCCCGTTGTGCAGAAAACCTACACGTCTTCCACCAGGGATGCTCCCAGCCAAGCTTCTTCAAGAAAAATATATTTTTAATCTGTTTTTCTCAGGTGTGCGTATTCCCCATATCTGGTCCCTTCTCAAGGGCTCTTAAAGTGGGAACCCGTCCCCTCCTGCTCTCCGTTCCTTTGCTATTTTCTTCTTGGCTGAGCCGTCTTCTAGCTCATTATTTAACATCTTCGTTTACATTTTATTTTGTCCCCAACTCTGCAAAAAGGCAGGACTCTGGGGCGGCCATCTGCCACACTGGCTCACAGCAGCGTGCCAGCCTTCGGGAGCTTGTCTGGCGTACCAAGTGCCCAGTAAATATGTGTCACCCGAATGATCGCCCCAGGCCCCCAGTCACCCTTGGAAGGTTGTCCCTAAATTATTTAGTGCTTCTGCGCTGTCCCTTGTGCAGCCGCCTCTGGGGGAAGCCGCCTGTCTCACCACTTGAGTCCCTTCTGAAGGTTTTGTCACCAACTTGGGCACCAGGGTCTGTGCCATTTCATGCCAGTGGAGATCTTTTCATCTCTGAATCAAAGCTACACCAGGTGATCCCTAATGCAGCTGTCCCAGCACTAAAGGACTGACCCCAGAGAGGTGACTTCTCAACCATATCCACAGGGCAAATGCCATGGACACCCAGCTGCACCCTTCCAGATGCAAGAGGACCAGAGTATTCCATTTCGCCCTGGAGGGAAACCAGGGAAAGGGGTCGTCGGGGGCTGGCACAGGCATGGAAGCCCATTAGGACCAGTATCTGCAAAGGAGCCGGTTCCTTGGGGTCACTGGGTCGTGAGAGCTCAGGGTGCCACTTGCCTCTAGGAAGAGCCCACCTGTGTCCCTGGGGAGGCAGAGAGGCCAGAGAGGCCATGCTGGGGCCTCTCGGGAAAACGAACACCAGCTCTGCAGCCTTCAAACTCCACTCTATAAACGTGCATCCCGGTTCCGTGGTTGAAATACCCACTGCTGTTCTGGAGCCATCGTCACAAGGGTGGTTGAAGATGCTGCCTAGAGGACAAGGTGACCTGGGGAGCAGGCCACGAGGCTGTGGCCTCTCTCGGCCAGGCCAGCTCTGGATTCCTCTCTGCACTGGAGGAGTGGCAGAGTCAGAACGCCCAGGCCCAGGCGCCCCGGCCCTTTCCACATTCCAACAGCACCCCATCTCCACCTGCCTCCCTGATGGCCTTCCCCTGGGGACAGGATGCTGCACTGAAACCCTGACCCTGCAGCTCTCTCCCCTTCGTCCATTAGGCACGTCCCACTATATTTCCGGGACCCCTCCTGCTGGCCCCAGGCCACCTCTGCCTGCCCCTTGGTCAGCACGTCTGCTCCCTCCCACGGGGTTCGCCCCTCCGTTGAGGTTTCCTTGAACTAACGTGACCTGAGCCTTGGTTCTCTCTAAGTCTCTAACATGAACACCCTGAGTGTATCTTCTATGTCCCCCTCCCAGGACCTGGGACGTGACATTAGGATCCTTATCTTATGGATGAGACAACTGAGACAGGAAAGCACCATTCGCCCCTCGTCACCAGGCTGTTTAGCCAAGATCCAAAACCAAGTCACAGAGAGAGGAGGGCAGGGGGTGGGGGGTGCTGCCCGTAACTGGACAGGGGCCTCAGCCCAGCGCGGATGCTCGTCACCGGGGAGGGCTTTGCGGGTACATCAACAACGCGCTCACGGGGGCCCCAGCCACAGCAGCTGGAGGAGCAGGGACCAGAGACCTTCCCCAACCATGAGCCCCCGGTGATTTTGCAAAACCCCAAATAGGACCTGTGCACCCCCGGAGGGTGGAAGGCTGCTGAATTTTTATTTAAAAAAGAAGAAGGAGAAGGAGAAGGAGAAAGAAAAGAAAAGTGTGATTTCCAGCCCTGAAGGTCAAGGAACAAACCTTTGCACAGGTGTCAAGGCCGTGCGAGTGTGTCTGCGGTGGGGTCTTGCACAAGTCACAGTGTTTTCTGGGGCCCTCGGTGAGTCAGGGGCTGCTCTAGTGCTGGGGAACAGAGGTAAACACAGATGAGGTCCCATTTGTGCAGCGTACCCACGGACAGAGGAACGGCCGGCCGACAAATCCAGACAAATAAAATACCAGGAAGGTGATCGTTGAAATGCAGATCACTAAAATGGAGTGGTATTATCCGGAGACTCGCGCCTTTGGACAGGCAGCCCCAGGGGGCCCCCTGACTGGAGTTTAAAATCTGATGAGCAGGAAGCAACAACTGGTACAAGGTTCCCTGGAGGTGACCTGGGACTGTCCAGGGGAGGCCAGAGCAGCGGCAGCTGGGTACACGGATGACCTGGGGCTTTGCTTCCACAGCGTGGAGGCCTTCTTGGGATCTCAAGAGGAGCATGGCGTGACTTGACACAGCTTCTTAGAAGATCTCTTGACTTCTTTGGAGCGGGTTGGGAACGTGATGTGGGAGAGGACTTGAGAGCCAGGGGGTCTCCTACAGTGTCCAGGGAGAGATGCAGGAGGGGGGAAGGGCAGATCGATTCAGAACTTATTTCCATTTAGAGGAACAGACAAATTGATGGATGGGAGAGAGAAATCAAGGGCATTTTGATCCACTGTGTCACCAAGGTCAGCGGGGGAAGGTATGACCTCACCCTGGGGTCGAAATTCTGTGCCACCTGGTGCCCTCTGCCCAGGAGCGTCGGCCCCACTCACCAGAGAATGAGGGTGAGCAGGAAGATTGGCAGAGGGGTCCTCCTGTCCTCCCTGCTCCCTTTACCTTCCAGATGTGTCTTCTGCTCCCTGGCCCCCTCCTCCCCTCTGTGAAAGCTGCCCCGTCAGCATCTGGCTGCATGGACCGACTGGGATCCTGACCCAAATCCAGAAGACATAATGGGGTCTCCCAGAGCTGGAGGAGTGAAGATCAGGGCCTGGGACAGCGGGGGGCTGGCATGGGGGGTCCCACAGCAACCCACAGAGGATGTCCTCCCCGGTGCAGGACATCCCTAAGGAAGTTCCCCGGAGGTCCACCTGGCCAAGTGGGGTCGCAACAGGACATTTTATCCAACAGTGTCACCAAGGTCAGTGGGGGAAGATGTGCACTCACACAAAGTCTAGAAAAGGAACAGGGTGCAGAGATGGCAAGGTTTGGGGGTCCTGGCTCCAGGGCCATCGGATGTGGGTGAATGACTCACCCTCCCTGGGCGTGAGTCTCTCCACCAGGGAGCATCGTGTCTGCTCTACAGAGACGTTACGGGGACCAGGTGTCGAAGGTTCAGAAGGGTTTCTGGCACCTGATAAATGCTCAATACCTGTACAGCTGCTGCTGATGGCTGTGGTTCCCCTGAGAAAAGGCAGGGACGGGGAATCTGAGAGGCAGCAAGGCAATCAGGACCTTCCAAGGTGAAGTCCCCTCGAGTTCCCCAAGGTCCGCAGTGTGCCTACTGACCTGTGGCTGTCTGGGGACCTGCTTAGGGATGGGGACACCTAGAGTGCAAGTTCTGGAATCAGTGTCAGGGCCGTCTGGGCTCCAGGCAGCCACTGTGCCCCGGCTACGGTCATGGTGCAGCTATGCTGGGCCAATTATAGACCCACTTTCTGTGGCTGCAGTTCTCGGGTGCCTTCAAGACAAGATGCTCAGATGACCCAAAAAGTAAGGGTCCCCGGCTCTCGTCCATCACTGCCTGCTCCTCCCAGAACAGAAACGGAGCTCCCTGCATTGGTAGGATCTCCCGAGCCCAAGGTTCCTAGGAAGAGGGAGGGGCTGGAGGACAGAGGTGTGTGAAGGTTGCAGTGCAAGGACCTTCTGAAGAAGTGGGTCCCGGCCAGGCGAGCTGGTGCACGCCCGAAGTCCCAGCAGCTCCGGAGGCTGAGGCTGGAGGGTCGAGAGTTCAAAGCCAGCCTCAGCAACTTAGCCAGGCCCTCAGCAGCTCAGCCAGGCCCTGTCTCTAAATAAAACATAAAAAGGGCTGGGGGTGTGGCTCAGTGGTTAAGCGCCCCTGGGGTCAATCCCCTGTACCGAAGAGGAAGAGGAGGAGGAGGAGGAGGAGGAAGAAGGTGGTCCCAGGCATAGGATGTACCAGGGAATAGGGGTGGGGGCTCCAGAAAAGACATTCATCAGAGAAGCAGGAAAGGGGCTGTGTCCATGTGGGGCTCCCCAGAGGGGAAGAAGATGGGATAGAGGGCTGTGGAAGAGGTGTCTCTTTTGTACATCTGTAGAGATGAACAGAGGAAGCTCTGTTGGCCCCTGAGGACGTCCTCAGGATGAGGTGCGGTCTTGGGTGTGTCCCAAAGCCCTCAGAATAGAATCAGGGAAACTGCGCTGCAGGCTGCTGCCGATGGGGCTTAGGGTCATGGCTGCTGACTTCACCAACACTTGCACGTCCAGGAGCAGGCCCTGGGAGAGCCGGCCCACACCCTGTCAACTGCCATCAGGACCCCAGCTCCCACGGGCACACAGTCACAGGAACTGGGGAGGGAGAAGGGACACGGCCAGCCCCGCTGTGGCAATGCAAGAGGGACGTCAGTCAGAAAACAGGGACTGGCCCCGCCCACTCCCGGCCTGCCTCGCTCTCCACCCATCTCCAGACCCCCACAGAGCACCCCAGCCCCCAACACCTGCGCGCTGGTCAGGGCACTAGTGCACCTTGAAGAGTCCCCGTGGGGACATGGCCACAGTACCTTCGAGAAGAGATTGCACAGGATTCAAACATCCCATTGCAGGAAACTAAAGTCCTCAGAGGGCAGGGTCCTTGAAAGTTTGTCCCTAAATTCCTGTGACCCCAGTGATCCCCACACTGTGGCATCCCCTTTCCCTTTGAGCATGACAGGAACTGGTAAAGTATAGCAAGGTGACAGCCGTGCAATCTTAAATAAAGGCACGGACAGTCTTAGGTCAAGGGAAACACAGGCCTAGATTAGAAACTAGGCAAGTGAATGTTCTGCTGAAGCATCTGCCGCAAAAAGGAGAATTGGGGGGTGAAGGTGGAATAAGCATCAATATTTGTGTGTGTGTGTGTGTGTGTGCCAGGAATTGAACCCTAAGGTGCTTGACCACTGAGCTACATCCCAGCCCTTTTTTAAATTGTATTTTATTTTTCCTATTTTGAGACAGGTTCTCCCGAAGTTGCTTACAGGCTGGCTTCAAACTTGCAAGCCTCCTGCCTCAGCCTCCCAAATCGCTGGGATTATAGGCATGCACCATTGCTCCTGGCTTCCCTCTTTTCATTTTTATAATTTATTTTTTTGCAGTTCTGAGGATTGAACCTGGGGCCTCGCACATGCCAAACCAATGCTGCACCACGGAGCTGTATCACCAGTCTGAGATAAGCAGAATCAAGGTTAAGTTCAGCAACTGGAAACCAGTGCGAGTGAGAGTAGACCTGTCTCCAAATCCACTGGAATGTCCAGGTCGAGGCAAAGTGGCCAAGCTAGCAGTTCTCAAGTGGTGCAGGGTATTGTTAGATTCTGGGAAATGGTTCCCTCCGGCAGAGTCAGTTCCCAGAACAATGCCTGTGTGAAAACTTGTTCCCATCAGAAAAATCCATAAGGCTTAGAGATGGATTTGGGCTCTTTTCGTTTTATTTTTTAAGTCCTCAGATGTCCCTCCAGGACTAGAGAACAATAGGTACGACTCTCTTACTCACACGCAATCGGAAGGTTGTCCTGGGGGGCTCTGAAGAATCAGCCAGGTTATAAATGGTCTACAGGTGAGGCTACCTGGCAGAGTTCAGCCCGACAACCACTGAGAAGAGAAGAGTTAATGGAGGATCTTATCAATCGCTTCATTCTTTTATCCCCCCCCCCCCCCCCCCCGCCGAGTTCTGGGGATCACACCCAGGGCCTCACTCACGCATGCTAGGCAAGTGCTCTAACACTGAGCTACAACCCCAGCCCAGGACTAAATCTCTCAAAAACAGGGGATCTATAATCCAAAACCTTCCCCCCAAAGAAAACTCCCTGCCCCGGTAGCTGCTCTGGAGAATTCTCCAAATTTAGGACAGAAGTTGTCTAGAACATGGCCAAAAAGCAAACTGTTCCCAGCTCAGTTCATAAAACCTGGATCATCCCATTCCCCAAACCCAAGAGGACAGTAGGAGAATTACAGGTTGATCTCTTACGAACAAAAACAAAAATTCAAAACAACCTCTTATTAGCTACCCAAACACAGCAGCGAATAAAACAAGAACACATTCCGACCACATTGAACTTATTCCAAGTATGCAAAGTTAGTTGAATAGCGATCAAAAAACCGGATATCTTGTCACATTAACAAATAAAGAGGTGGTCCTAGCTGATATAAAATCATCTCATTAAATGCAGAAGAGTATTTGATAAAATCTTATTTATTCATGAGTTTTTAGAAACCAGAAAACTAGGAGTTTTTATCTGGAACAGGGTGACCCACACATTCCATCTTGTGGTACAAAGATCTAAGTGTCCCTCAGGGACAGAGACACCACTCCAACACGACTGATCCACATTGTACAGGAAGTCAGAGACAGAGAAGAACAAGAAAAGAAATAAAGATAAAAGAATTGGAAAAGGAAAAAAAGAGACCATCGCTCTTATGAATAATGTGATATTTTATTATGAAAATCCAAAAGGGGGCTACAGAAAAATTATTCAAATTGAAACATTGTAACAGGTTTGCTGGATGAAGATAAAAATTCAAAAGACCAGTCATATGTCTGCATACAAGCAAGAAATGGAAAATCACCCTTAAGTATATAATTTATAATGACACCAGGAATACTAAATACCTGGGGATGCATTTAACCAATGACATGCAACACTCTACAGAGCAAAATATAAAGTGACTTCCGGAAATTTAAAGACCCAAATAAATGGAGATCTACACCATGTTTGTGGATTGAGAAACTCAGTATCAATGTCAATTCTCTAAACGTCGATCTATAAATCAGTGTGATTTCAGTCAAATGTCTGACATATGGGTGTGCGTGAAACTTGACAGGCTGATTAAAATTCATGCAAATGGAAAAGCTGTGACACTCTGGAGTGTTCTGGAAGACACCGAGATTGATAACGAAGGTTCTGAAATGAGCCCAATGTGAAAGCGCAAGGAAAAAGGAAAATCGATCAGCAGAACAGACCAGGAAGCTCAAATGTCATCCCACAACATGACATTTCTGGTCTGTTGACCCTCGGCTTCCAAGGAAGGCAGAGAGCTCTTTCCAGAGAGATCTCTGGTGACCAGGCCATCAGACCTCTTGGCCGTGGCCTCGCACAATTCCAGGTATCCGGAGGACCTATTGGCTAAAAGGCAAAATGAGAGGGATCTTAGAAGGTAATTCAGGATATCTTCAAGACCTTGGGGTCAGCAAACACTGGACATGAAAAATACTAGCCGTCAAAGAAAATATATGGGACATCTTTACTACCCTGAGAGAGCACAGGGAGAATGGGGTTGGCAGAGAGCCCCGGAGCAGGCTCGGAGGCTGGCCCCAGGCCATTTCTTGAAGGAGGGGGTGGAGGTGTTTACATGCAGGTTTGATTTACAATCATTAATCAAAGCTAGTTCAGAAGCTTTCTGAACTTTTCTGAATGCATATCATATTTCACAATAGGAGGAAGTTTAAATATAAATAAATACTTAACTTAAAATTCCTCCAGGACAGACTGAGTGGATTTGTTTGGTTTTTAAAGAAGTGTGCTATGGGTTAAGCATGCTTTATCCTCCCAAAACTAATAGTGACATTTAATCCCCACTGGGAGATAGGAAAAGGGTAGAAATTTATTCTGACTGTGGTGTTTCTTTGGAATATGATTAGGTTAGACAGGTAATGAGACTGGATTTTGGTGGCTTTATAAGGAGAGGAAGAGAGACCAGAGGGACAGAGATACACACATGCTCCCTCCATGACATTACTCAGCCAAAGAAGACCCTCACTAGAACCTGCACCATGCCATTTGGACTTTTGGCCTCCAAAACTGTGAGCTAAATAAATCTTTTTTTCCTCTATAAAATAGTCTACCTCCCATATTTCATTATAGTTATGCACAATTCCAGGTATCTGGAGGACCTATTATTGGCCAAGAGGCAAAAAAGAGGGATCTTAGATAATATAGGATATCTTCAAGACCTTGGGGTCAGCAAACACCGGACATGAAAAATACTAGCCAATACAGGTGGCAATACTAGACAAATAAGAAGCACAGTTTAGCCTCATTGTAGAATAAGATTGTACTGAAATGTGTACCTTAGGCATGATTCTAAACTATGTTCTGAGAATTTCTTCACTTCAAGTGATAATGGAAATTATCATCAAAAGGAAAACCTCCAATTTACCTTTATGAAACTCTTTTCAGTTGTAAAAAAAAAAAGAGTTATAGAGATAAAGGTTCTATCAAAAGCCCCAGGGAACACATTCCACGCACCTCCTATAGGTATGTATATGTAATGTCACTATAAATAAAAAGGCCATTTAGGGCTAAAGTTTGAATCATAAAGGCCACGTGTTAAAGGTTTAGTCACCAGTCTGTGGTGCTGTTGGGAAATGATGGAAGCTTTTGGGGGTGGGGCCTCATGGGAGGAAGTTAGGACACTGGGGGCGTGTCCTTAAAGGGGCTATTGGGCCTCTGGCCCACCCTCTTCCTGTCTTCCTTTGTGGTCACCATGAGGTGAGCTGCTTCCTCCAACATGCACTCCTGCCATGAGGTGCTGCCCCACTCCAGGTCCAGGAGTAATGGTCCATACACACCATGCATGGAAACCCCACATCTGGGAGCCAACATAAACCTTACTTCTTTTAAAGTTGATTTTTCTCAGCTGTATATCACAGCAATGGAAAACTGAGGAACACATCTGGAAATAATGAAATAGTTTGGGTTTGCTGTTGTTGTCACTGTTTTGATTCTTATTTTCGTTTTTGTTTTTAAAGAAAATGTGGTGCACGCTCCGTGAAATTCTTCCTACAAATCCCCAAGTAGGAGCTGAGTGTCTACCGCTCTCAGGAAACTCAGTGTCAGCACCTATGGTTAAAAACCATTTGCCCATTTATGTGTGTCCGCCTGGTCTCCACAGGGACTTTGCAGACAGGCACATCAGCTTGTGAAGCTCCGTATTTTATGATAGTAATGGCCTCTGGGAACTCTTCCCCCTGCGCTCGGCAGAATTCAGTGAGATGCCTGAATGTCCTGGAGAGATGGCTGAGCCAGAAACAGTGGCCAGACACAGTCACCTGACCTGGGGAGTCCTTCCCCTCATGTCTGATCCTTGCAGTCAGGTGGCCAAATAGTCTGTGGAGGAGGAATAACAAAGAATGAAAAATTCCATTCCGCACAGTGGAAAAACCCAGTGTTTTCAAGGACACTGGGACCAAGCAAGCCCAGGGGTGCGAGCAGAAGGAAAAGAGCCGCGAGAGGGCCCTGTAGCGCTCACACTCCGGCTTCTCTGCATGGAGGCCAGCCTCTGGCTCCTGGTCCAGTGTTCACGAGGGACAGCAGAAGTAGCTCCAAATCTGGGGTAAAGGCCATAGAGCAAAGTATCAGAAGAAGAACCCCGGGATGATTAACACGGAGACAACCCTTGCTCAGCCTGTGTCCAAGAGGACTTTGTGGGCCTTCCAAGTCGGGGGTCACAAGAACCTCACAGACTGCTCCTCAACATCGTCATCTCCTCCAAGGCCCGAAGAGATGATTACCATGAGGGTCAAAGGGCAAAGCCAAAATGTACTTGGTTCTGAGTTCAAATTGTTTTTCAGGTATTGGGCAAGGAATGGAAAATAAACATTTCATTTTCCTTTATATGGTAGGTGAAAATCAGCTTTCGTGAAGTAGGTCCTGAGATAAGAATCTACGAAGTAGGGAAACAGCTGTTTGAATTTCCCTTGCTAAAGAAAATATTTAAGTCACAGTTACTCTTAAATTATAACTCTGAAAAGGACTGGTACATATAACTATCAAAATATTTTTTTTAAAGTGCCATTTTTAAAAAAGATATACAATATGCCAGGCACGGTGGTGCACACCTGTTATCCCAGCAGCTTGGGAGGCTGAGACAGGAGGATCATAAGTTCAAAGCCAGCTGTTGAAATTTGGCAAGGCCCTAAGCAACTTATCAAGACTCTGTCTCAAAATAAATAATAACAAGGGCTAGAGAATGTGGCTCAGTGGTTAGAGGCCCTTGGATTAAATACCTGGTTTAAAAAAAAAAAGACATACACTAACAAGTGTTGGTAAAGATGTACAGTATCTGGAACTTTCCTCCATTGTCAGTGGGGATGGAAATGATATGGGAAACAGTTTGACAGGTTTTTTCCAAACACCAAGTATAAATTTACTTATGACCCCCGAAAATCTCACTCCTAGGAATCGACTCTGGAGGAACATATTCATCCACACAAAGATTTGTATGTGAATGTTCATAGCAGCATTATATGCATTATTTATAAATAAGGAAAAAATGGAAACAATTCAAACCTCCATCAACTGATGAATAGATAAATAAATCTGGTATACCCTGCTGTGGAATATTATTCAGCAGTTACTGAAAATTGCCATGAGGTGGATAAACTTCAAAAACAATATGCTAAATAAAAGAAACCAGGTGCAAAATATTACATATGATATGATTGCATTGATATGAATGTCCAGAAAGAGCTGATCCATAGAGACAGATAAAGGATCAATGATCTCCTGGGGCCCATGTGGGGGGCAGCCTGGCATACAAAGTTCATGGCAAATAGACACTGGATAGATGTGGGGAAGATGAAAATGTTCGAAAACTGGGTTATGGTGATGGTTGCACAAGCCTATGTTTACCAAAATTTACCAAATGCTACTAAAACGGATGAGTGTATGGTATATCAAGGGTAACTCAGCAAAGCTGTCTTTTAGGAAAAATAAGTGAAGCATAACAAAGAAGTATGAATGAATTATTCAATAAATAGTGCTGGGGAAATTGTCTAAGAGTTTAGGGGAGAGAAATCAACTTAAAACCGGAATTATATGGTCCACACTCCAAAATTGGACTATTGGACTATTAAATGAGGGGGGGAAAAAGAGGGTAATAGGTGACTGATTTCAATGTGGAAAACAGTTAAATGCAAAAGCAATGAAGGAACAGATACGGTGACATTTGTGGAAAAACCTTATCTATACAAAAATGACATCTGTTTATATTTCAAATATATATCAAATTCAGTTAGCAAATAGGATGGGGCTCATTCCCTTTAATGTTTAAATACAGAAATCAATACGACCACACCGGGGGGACAGCCCTCTCTCTTTCGGGGCCTCCCTGGGTTTGGACACAAACACTCCTGCCACACATTTGTTCAAAGCCTCGTGAGACCACGGGGCTGGGGGTCCTTAGGCTCCGCCCACCCCCGGAGTGCGAGGTGACAACGGTGAAGGCTCGGACCGTGGGGACCCGTGGGCGGGCTGCACCCTGGTGTCCCAAGCCCCCTCCGCCCTGGGAGCAGGGCCACCTCGGGGACAGAGCCACTTCCCTGCAGGAGGGTTTGGGGCAATTGCCAGCCTTCTCTTGGGCTTGATCTTGACATCGTCTTTCTGTCCAAACGCAGGAGAGGGAACGAAGGGGCCGTGGAGGGCGGGCGCTGGCCCGGGGTGACCTACGTGGCTGGGGCAGGGGGGGGGGGGGGGGCCGAGGGCTGGAGCCTGCGCATGCGCACATGCGCACAGGCCAGCCGCTAAGCCCTGCAGCTCAGTCCCTCCAGGTCCCTGCAGTCTGTCCAGGCTGTCATTCCACTGCCATCAGGAAGTCACTGTCCCTGTCCTGCCGTGCAGCCTGCGTGACGGTCTCAGCCGCTCCCCTGGCACGGTCCCCTTCCCCAGAACCCTGCCAGTTCCCCTCGCAGCCCCCCACCAGCCACTCAAGACCTGTCACACTCCGCACCACCCACCACCCAGCCACCCCTCCGCGCCTGGGACCCCAGCTGTCAGCACCCACAGCGCATCACAAATGCACACCACACACACAGCACACACGATGACACACAATCCACGCACACCGCATGTGACACACATGGCACTACAAGGAGACCACACATCACAGGAACCACACATGCCACAACCACACCACACACACACAACTACACACCTGACCCCACACACAATGTGCATGCCACACACATGCATGAGACACTCACCACACACCACACACATAACATACATACGCCACACACCACGCATACTACACTCACACCACATGCATCACACTCAACACAACAAAAATACACACTGCAAACACCATACACACCACACATGCACCACACATACACCACCACACATTACCCCACATACCACACACAAGACACACAACCACCACTACAAATGACACATACAACACCTAGGACACACACTACAAGCAACACAAACAACACCCACACCACACACACACCTATACACCACACACTCCACTTACCGTGCACACCACATAGAGACCATATACATATAAACGAATCTCACACGCATTACATGCTACACAACAACACACTCCACACATCACAGACACCTCACATGGTCTAAACACACCATGCCACACTCACACCACACACCACTCAAACACACATAACCCATGCAGTACACACAACTCACAACACACACATGCACCATGAACACAACACAGCAGACACATCACAGCACATACATCATACACTACACACGATACTCAGTACACCACACAACAAAATAACATGTCACACACAAGCACCCCACATTTCACTTACCACACCACATATACACTTACCATGAACAACACAACACATACACACAACACATACACTCCACACATCACACACCACACACACACCACACACATACCACAAACACCACATATCAGGTTTGCCTACCACACACAACTTACAAATACCCCACACAGGGCACCGTGTACACAACACAAATCGCACACAGCATGTACCACATACACACAGTACACAACATCCATCACATACAACACATGCTGTATGCACACCACACACACATCATATACACACCATACATAACGCATGCACCACACACCCCATAAACACCACACACACCACATTCCACACATACTATACAAACCAAACCACACACCATGCACACTACACACACCATAGGCATGCACCACACACGGCACATACAATGTCCATGCATCACATATAAACATCACACACACAAAACACGCCACACACATCACAAACACACACCACATAAACATCCCACACACACTTCACTGTCCACACACATCACACCCAAGTACACTACACACCACAATATGCATCCAACACACAACACACACCTCACAAACACACTAGACACAACACATTCTACATACCATAGTATCACACTCATGCACAATAAACATACCACAAAACATGCAACACCACATGAACTACACACAACCATCACACTCACACACATGACCCTATGTAGCACTCATACCACAAATGCATACCCATACAACAACACCTCACATACAACACGCATGCAAAACACACACATGAAACAATGCAACACACATCTCACACACCACACACAAGACACACCACATACTGCACCATACACCAAACATGTGCATCACATGCCACACACACAAAGATACACATCCCACATACACACATCAATGCCATACACAATACACATGCCACATACATGCACCACTCACACAACACAAATACTAAATACACACCACATACCACACATAATACATGTGACACAAAAATGCAACACACTCCATAAATAACACACACAACATATACTACAACTCACATGCACAACACACATTGCACATAACACATGACACATACATCCCACACAGTTCATGCACCATTAACAATGCATACTACCCACAACACACATAATACACACATACTACATGCACCATATTCACGACACACACTACACATATACCACCCAACAGAACACGTACCATAGGTACACCACACAGTATACACCACACACATACCCCTCAGACCACACGCAAACCACGTATGTGCACAGGAGTCCCACATAGCACACACAACCACACACTAGACACAATGTACCTACCATACACTAATGCACCCTACATACCACATACAACATGCTACATACACAACTTACCAGACACACACCACATGTATTATTCACATGCCCCCATCATACACACCACACATGATCACACTGCACACACACACCACTTGCACAAACTACATCACAGACAGCACATACATGCATACCATGCACATACACCATACGCACCACATGCCACATGTACTACATGCACCACACATACACAGCTCACACACCACCTAATACTGCACACACACACACAAGGTATGTATCACACACACTATACTTCCCACAAATACACACCACACACTTACACCACACACACTACACACCTTATGTTCATATCACACATACACCACACATATTGAAGCAGACCAGGTAGCCCCGCCCCAGAAGACCCTTGCCATAATTAAGGCTCTCCTCTGGTCACATCACAGCATGTCTCCAGAAGTTGTGTGGTTGGTAGTTCCCTCTTTCTTGTAATTGCCAGGTTTGCACAAAAGGTGCGACAGAGTTCGTCTGCAAGCTTGTTGTGCATAAAGATATTATCTTGGCTTTCTTGGTAAAAACTTGTACAACCTGTGTCTGGCCCAGGGGATGGAAGGAGAGCACTTGCCATGTAAAACCTCCAAGCCCCTAGCCCCCCACTGGATATAGAGTTCAAAGAATCCCCAAAATCTTTGTTCAGAGGAAGAATTCTTAGGTGAGAGCCATCTCTGAACCCTGCAGCCAATAAACCGGCTTCCTGAACATTCCTCTTCTGTCCTACTTCAGTGTCACACATTGAAACACCAACACCACAAACACCAAACTATGTACACATGCCATACATGCTCACCACCCAGAATGCTGCACACTCCAAACCACACACACACACACAGCATGCACCACATACCAAACACCGATCACACACATCATAACACCACATGTCACATACTGCATATGACCCCAGGCCACCTCACACCAGCTATGCACACACCACACACACATACCTGTGCATCATGCACACACCGTGCACACACAAAATCCCCTTCCCCGTGTGCACACAGATGCAAGGTAAGCCTTGGGCTCGGCAGTACCTGTCCTCCTTTGCAGAAGGTGATAAGAAGTTTGAGGACCCGGAGTCTCCCGGGGAGCCAGGCCTGGGACACTCAGAGGGAACCCAGGAAAATTCTCCAGCCACACGCCCCGCCCCCTGGCTCCGCCCCCACCGGGGAGCGCGGAGCCACCTCGGGACCTGGAGAGGGAGCAGCTGCAGGGCTTGCTCGCTACAATCTGAACTTTAAAGCAAAAGGTTGCAAGGGTCGAGGACAAAGCTTTTGGTGGAAAAGTGTTGGTTGGTCAGTTCCTTGCGGTCCAAACGATTTTGTGCACTAAAAATATGCCCATATCAGGAACTTTATCCAAAATCCAATTTACTGGCTTTTAGTGGCTGACATTCCTCTAGGGACCAGTGATGCTCCAACCTCAGCTTCCTTGGAACTCCTTGACGCCCTGCCACCGCTGTGACTCTCACTCTGGTCCAAAAGCCTAAGAGAATGCATTTCTCCGAGTCCCCAGGTGGGGCCACTGTAGCTGGGACAGAGAAGCTGGCCAGTCAGAGACCTTCTGCATCCAGTCAGATGCCCTCAACTTTGAAACATTGATTGCAAACCGAAATCTCTTTTAAGCATCTCATTAAAATTTCAAGACTCACATATCAGATGGTTTTGAATGTTTTAAACACTTTCAACAGCAGGTAAAACTCTTCCTGCAGCATTATGATGATGACAAGCATTCGTACTTGTAAAGTAAATATTTACAGAAGTTGCAATACAGGGGATCTTCATTGGTTTTTCCAGGATCCCCATTCCAAATCTAATCTCTTCCCGTCCAGAAGTACAATTTCACTCTCCTAACTAGAGAGTTAGGGTTTCAGAGACTGAAACAAGCAGAAGTTACACTTGTAGTCTGGAGCGCAGGAAAGACCCCTGGGCTGTGCCTTTTCCCGGCAATGCCCCCCTGGAGACGTGCTTTTTATAGCTGAACTTAATGTGTTACAGCTGAATCTATCCAAACTGTAAACCTGACCAGTTACATAGGTGTAGACTTTTGTGACCTGGTCTTTTCTCTTGCATATTTTTATTGTGAGACTCTCCCATTCTGCAGTATTCTGGAGCCCACACATACTGAATTATAAGAGCTAATTGTTGCAGGATGCAGTGGTGTAGGCCTGTAAACCCATTGGCTCAGGAGGCTGAGGCAGGAGGATCATGAGCTCAAAGCCAGCCTCAGTAAAAGCAAGGCGCTAAGCAACTCAGTGAGACCCTGTGTCTAAATAAAATACAAAATAGGGCTGGGGATGTGGCTCATTGTTCCAGTACTCCAGAGTTCAATCCCTGGTACCAAAAAAAAAAAAAAGAAAAGAAAAGAAAAAGCCAACTGTTGCATATTTCAGAATCCAACACACTGATAACTAAATACAGCCATTATTAAAAATTAAATTAAATAAACACATTTAAATAAGTCAGTTTAAAAGATAACAAATGCTCAAAAGTCATTGCTTCTTGTTTATTTTACTAATATCTATACCCTTGACAATATCTATGCCTATTCTGTTGTAGAATACTTTTTCATGGTGAGCTATTTTACATCTTCTGGCAACTTCAAAAAAGCTTGGAGTTACATTACACAGCTTGAAATCAGTCACAGTGGGAGAATTTTCACCACGGAAATAAAAATGCTCCACAAATCAGTCCCCCCGACCTAGGCAACGATTAAATAATTACTCGTACAACACTGATCCAATATTCACAAAAGAACAAAACAGAAATCTACTTCATTTTTTAAAAATCTGCTTCAAAAACCCCATGTCCTGAGAGTCTTTGCAAAGCACAGACAAACGTCAAGCCTTTTTTTTTTTAAACAAATGCTTACTCGGGTTGGGCACTGGCCTCGTTCTAGGTGGGTCCAATACAGTTAAAGCTTAGAATCAGTTTGATTCCCTGAAACCTGAACTTTTCTTCTTCTGCAACCATAAAGACCCAGAGACAAACACAGGAGCCAAAGACCCGCTCCCCACTCCCCTCTACCATGGAGCAGCAGGGGACCCTGAGCATCATCTCCTTATAGGTACAACCCGAATGTTCTCATCCATAAAATGAAGATAACACCCATCTCACAGTGCGCTCGTCAGATCCGAGCGAGAGAAGAAATATGAATTATGAGAAGCTAATTAAAGGGTAGAGTGGCTATTTAAAATCTACGTTCTAGGGAGGAAAGTGTCTATTGACTCTAACTGAAAGGATATTCGAGGACAAGTTGCCATGTAAATACAGATTGCAAAATCATATTCAGGAATCCTGAAATCAGATGTACAAATCAGATAGGCAATCAACTAGAGAAGAGTTGAGACAGATAAGCCGCCATCCCTGTGGGGATAAATCTTCTGAAAGCTGTAATCCATGCAAGTGGGTGGAGCCCAGAGGTAGAGCACTTGCCGGGCCTGCAAAAGGCCCTGCATTCATCCCCAGCACCATGAAGAAAAGGAAGGAGAAAGGGAGAGGAAGAAAAGGATGATGAAGGAAGGAAAGGGATGTTTAAAACTAAAATAAAACAAAAGAAGCCCAGAGCAGTGGTACATGCCTGTAATCACAGCGGCTCAGGAGGCTGAGGCAGGAGGATCGCGAGTTCAAAGCCAGCCTCAGCAACAGCGAGGCACTAAGCATCTCAGTGAGACCCTGTCTCTAAATAAAATACAATTTACGGCTGGGGATGTGGCTCAGTGGTCGAGTGCCCCTGAGTTCAATCCCTGGTAGCAAAAAAATAAGTAAAAACAAAACAGAAGAAAGAAAATGTAAAAAAAGAAAATCAATTCTCTATAGAAATCTGTAGGAATAAAATATGTCATTACAGTAACCCGAGAGACCGCAAGGGAATGGGAAATAAAATTGCACTGTGTTAGTTTCTTATATTTTATGGAACATGGTATTCTGTTAATTCACGGACACTGTCTGGTCTACACCATACAAAGCACCCAGCTGAGGTTAGGCAGGCGCGGTCTCTCTGCAGTTTCCCGCGGGAAGTAGGATCTGGCCGTGGGCATGGGGGAGGGTGGGTCACTTTATTTCTCAAGGTGAACCCATTGGGGTCCTTTGCCATACACCACCCACCTGTGACCTGCTGACTCAGAATCACCAGACCCACAGAAGACAAACCGTCCCAGTGCTGCCTGAGCCTCCTGTAACCTTGACCAGGTTATTCTTCACCAACCTGCCAGCTCTCTGATACCCGTGAGGACAACATCTTATATTTTGTCAGCTTTTCTAGTTCTTCTCTGTAGGACCGTCCCCCACCGTCAGTCACATCAGAGTCAGAAGCTACTTTCCCTTAATGGAAAACATTTTCAAATCACATAGAATGATCATGGGTCCTTCAGGTTCTCGGTCAAGCCGTTTCTACAGGTAATGGCTATGGCAGGTGGCCGGGGAAGGTTCCGGTCTGGGCAGCGTGTCCAGCCTGCCACCTGGCTTGGTGGCTGTCATACAGATCGGGGAGCTTGGTTAGGCTCTGTTTTGCAGTGGGGGGCCCTCCAGTCTCACACCAGCAATAGAATTAATCTTTTCCTTCTGGATGGACATGTGCCCTCTTCTCTCTCCACCGTCAGACTGGAGCGCATGCACCAGAGGGGGCCAATCCATTCTTCAACCTCGTCTTATGCGCAGAGAGAGACTTTGGGTGGCTTTGTTGTTTCTTTCTGCAGTCACACAACCTGCCTTCACAGTCACACTATCTACCTTGACAGATGCTGGGGAAGTGACAGCCATATGCAGCCATAATTTGGAAGAAGGACACAAAAACAAATCCAGAGTGTCTTCCATGTTGCCTCATGACAAATTCCGTGAACGGCTTTAAATCTTCCCTGGAACAAAGCAGGTGTTGGGGTACTGCATTCTCCCCAGGAAGGGAGACAGGAAACCCTGAGCTCCCGGCTTCTGAAGACCTTCAAGTCCTGGAGAAGAGGGCAGGGTCCTGAGGCATCAGAGCACAGTGGGCGTCTGTGACCAATGGCCCACGGTCACCTGAGGAGTCTCCCCTCCCTGGTCACAACCTGCCACAGGGGAGAGGCTGCTCCTACTCAGGCCCCACAGCTGTTGGCACAGGGCCCTGTGGGTCTGGGTGCTTGCACAGGCTGCACTGACCAAGAGAGGCCCACTCCATTCCAAATGGCCCCAATCCTTTTAGTGACCACTCTCCAGAGGGCCGTCATTGCCATTAACCATGAAGTTGATGGTTCAAGGGCAAATATAGGCATCCACGGGACTGCTCTATGCACGCGGGTTGGCGGCCCATTGTCATCTTGGGCAGGGCCTGCTGGTGTCCTGGGTTCCAGGTAGGAACGTCTGCCTACATTCTCTCGTCTCCTGTAGTTCATAACTGACCTCAGGCCTAGAAACCTACTTGTGTGCTTTTCGAAAGAGCAGGAATTGGATCATTTTCCCCTTCAACATGATGAACGCCGTAATCAAGAAAAGCCTGGATCACGTGGCAGCCGACGTCTTTGTCGTCCTGATCACAAACGTCGTGTGTTCAAACAGAAGCTGCTGCGCCTCTCTTTTGCTGTGAAGACGGGAAGCCAAAGGAGTGTGGATCACAGTCCAGCACTCTGCAGAGCCGGTGTTGCCCTCGGCAATGCAGTGTCTCTAAGCAGCTTGTTCCTGGTTGGGGACAACCCTGATAACAGTCCCTGGAGCGTGGTCCAGCTAACACACGGAGCCCAGGGAAGGCCCAGCAGCCCTTGTGGTGTGGAAGGCCACAGGTCTGCACCGTGTGCCTCCAGCACCCTCCCCCTCGGCAGCCTGCGTGGACCTGCTGATTTTCTCTGCAGATCCCCCATGAGCCTTCCTGAGGGCCACTGGGGAGGTGCAGCCCGCAGGGACTTGAGTTTCCAGATTATGCAGGTAACCATGGAGACCAGAACTGGGAAATGACTAGAAGACCGAGGTGAACTCTCCATGAAGTGAGCAGAGGCTGCCTTCCTCGGGGAGGGGACAGTGAGACCCCGGCAGGTACATCAGGACAGCCGCCTTGGGAGAGCAGGACCCTCTGAGCCTCATGCTGTCCCCTGATAAGCATAGTTCCCACTATGCCGGAGGTGGGAGCAGTCTCCTCCCTTCCTCCCCCACCCTGGGACCTCACAACTTTGCTGGAGCCAGTCAGCAGCACACAGTGGACGTGGCCCAAACGTCTTGTCTTAAAATGTTTTCCTTATTTAAAACACATGCCTGTGCACATGGACATAGGTATGTGAGTGTTACATATATATATATGTTCATTGCAAAAAAAAAAGGTAAATGCAGATAAGCAAAACGTTTAAAAGGAGGAACAAGAGAAAGAAAACTACTTGCACTGCCACCTCCCACATCTAACGGTTTCTAACGATTTCACCCACTTCCTGCCTGTGTGGGTGAGGGGGGTTTCACCTCCTAGAATGTCACATAATCCCCGGCCT